CATCGAAGGACACTATTTTTTATTTCGGTTTCAGTTGTAACACTTTTATTCGATCTAGGAACGTAACCGAGTTTTTATGCCGTTGTCTTCTGGAATGGATGGGCGTTATAAATGAAGGAGATATTTAGCCAGCTGGTAGTTGGGAGCCGTTGTTGAAGAAACGATCGGACGTAGTGTTACTCCGATTTTATGCACCTTTGGTAGTCTGTAGATGCGCGGGATTGGACCCTCCGTAGGTTTGATATCTTTGTATTGTTTTTCACTGAGTTTGTTGTTTTTCTATAGTTCTGTGAGCTTTTTAGTCAACCTGTTACGTAGAGTTCTTATAGGGTTTCCTATGACTGGTTGATGCGTCACCGAATCACCGATNCTACCCAGTTTTTCTTTGTACATATATATGTATATATATATAAACTAGAAGTTGATTTCCAGTCGATTATAACTCACGTCGATAAGACGAAGTTCACGTGTCCATGTTTCCCAACTCAATTGCTAACCCGCTTGAGTAGACGGTCTTCGCGAACAGCACGTCCAGAAGGGAGTTCACATTATTCTTCTTTGGAGAATTGAGATTAGCTACCTGTGGCTCATCCACTAAGATACCGAATTTTCACTTGAGTAAAAAATCTAATCGTAAGAAGACAGTGAGTAACATTCTCTCTCCTTCAGAGATGTAAATTTCGGAAATATTTTTGAGGTCGAGGATAAGAAATTGATAAACCTCGAAAAAAAAACACTATTCGGAAGCCTTTATTAGAGTGCACAGGATTCGCCATTTGCACTTACCCAATGGTGGCGACCCCCACCCCAACACCTGTAATCTCCGGAGAGCAGAGATGCATGCTACCGCGGGCATCCTTAGGTCGCGGATAGGGGAACGGCCGTCATCTCTCAGCAAACCGTGAATAAATGGTCGCGGAAGATCAACAGCAGTGTACCAGAACGTGGTGGGTTAACACATTAGCAAGCGTTCTCTGCACAAACCAGCATACATCAGTGGACTGCGATGTGACGTGGCGAATGTATCCCTCCACTTAATATGAGCACTTCCCCCTGTCGAACTATATTCTATGACAAGGATTTCCAGAAGAGGCGAATTAACCAAATAGTGGTCACCGTCTCAGATGGGATGCTGGAGAACAATTGTGTGACCCAGATTACGCCGACGACCTGGTTCAACTGTTCGAATGCATGTAGGAAGCAGAAATCACACTTGACAGATTAGCAAGTTCTGTTACTCCGTTCGCAATGCGCTTTGCATCTTCAAAGTGCAAAGTGATGCTGCAAGGCTAGCGTCGCGGAGTCCGGTTCTGAAACTAGACGGTCGGTAATTAGCTGAAGTTAACTGCTTCTCGTACTTGGGTAGCTGCGTGACCGACGACGGTTGCGCATCAGAAGAGATAAACGTTGCATTTCCAACATGCACAGGTCTAAAACACTGTGGTGGTGATGTGACGTTCCACTGATGTTCAAAAGTCGCGTATGCTGTGCCATTCTACAATCAGTTGTGCTTTACGATTGTGAAACCTTGAATTTCTGGGAAGATGACATCAGTCGCCTAGTGTTTTTCGACAATTGATGCTTCCGTAGTCCTGCCCAGGGAAGATGGAGTGAATACCCTCGGGTTGAGGGGAGCTGAAGGCTACCAGCTGCGTCCCCAGGTTGTGGATACGGGGTTACCTTCACCGAAGAAGGTTAGCTGAGAGTCAGTTGTGGCCTACCGCAACAAATAAGCAGCCGCGAACAAACAGCGGCGGCACTACCAGGGTGTGGTGGGTTTCAGGCTGGTCACCTGGCTCCTGTCAAAAAGCCGCATACGCCCAATGACAGTGTTGTGACAACGGTCGATGTGTTTGGCCGTTTAAAACTAAAGTCATTGTCCCCCTTCCGAGGGGAGGCATTACTTCCTGCTGCCTTGCAGTTCGCAATCCGTTGTGCGAAGGCTAGAGGCGCCCTAAAAATGAAAAAATGACGACTGACGCTGGGGATCTCTCTCGTACCAAACTCCCAAGGAACTCCATGATCATGTCTGGAGCCAGTTTATCCTTCAAAGGAGCGGGAGTTGGCGACATCCAGTCTTGCAGCATCAATTTGCACTTTGAAGGTGAAAAGCACATACCCAATTTAACAACCGTACGTTTTCGTCTATCTAGTGCACTTCGCTCGTCCTTCAAACATTCGAACAGACAGACCATGTCATTGGCGTACTCTAAAACGCACAGCTCTCATCCAGCTACACATTCAATATCCACGTTTTGGAAGCCACTTAGTGGGTTCTAAACTATTTCGTCTACGACGAAATTGAACAGCCCACTAAGTTCGTTGTAAACCCTCACTCGACCAGAGGTATGAGAGTACACCGACCTCAGTACGTTAACGTATTTACTTCTGGAGCATTCCTTTTCGAAGGAAACCCATCAGAGCTTCGTGTTCAACTGAGTTGAATGCTCCCTTCAGGTCAAGAAACATTGCAATCGTTGGTCGACGGTGGGTGTGATGCAGCTCAAGAACCTGACGAAACATGAAAATTTGATCAATATATCCACGGCCAGATCGGAATCCGGCTTGCTGTTCACGGATTTTGATCTCTTAAAAGAATTAGACGTCGTAGTATGATCAAAGCTAGCACTTTGGTGACCACCGGAATCAAACTTATCCCGCACTGGTTTTCACTATCGTTGCGAGATCCTTTCTTGAAAATAAGAACGATCAGTGATTCGCGCCAAGACGGACTGCGCTCTGGCGTCCAAATATTGCACAGTACGGTAGTTATAGAGCTCACGACGCCTTCATCCTCCATCTTGAAGAGAGTGGGAGGGAGCTCATCAGGTCCTTCTGCCTTTCATCGCTTCAGAGCCTGAATGCAAAACTGAGATGCTTCCTCTGCTGGAGAATCGCACGCCGTTGTCCAAGGAGCTTCAGTCGCAGATGAAACAACCTGGCTAGTGCCGGGTCAGCTGAACTGTTCACCGAAGTGTTCCGCCCAGCGATCAAGCCGTTGATCTCAAGTGCATAGCTTGTCCCCTCTCACCGCTGACTGTTTCACTAACTGGAGTTCGCCGACCTCCCATGTTGCGTAGCAGTTGGAACAGTCTTTGACTATTCCCTGATGCAACTGCTACTTCCATTTCACCAGCTATTGTCGCCCACCAGTTTTCACGATCTTTCTTGAGACTCCTCGTGAGCTGACGTTGCAGATGCCACCTAACTCTATTTTAATCCCGACAAATCAGAGTCTATTGCTTTTCCTCTATCAGGGATAACAACTCCTGAGATATCCAAAGTCTCCGACGGCCTTGAGATTCAGACCCACAAACAACATTCGCTGGGGAATGCATTGCTCGCCTAATCTGATCCCAATGTCCATCTACACCCTCATTTTGACGCGTGCTCAGCTCACGCACTAGCTCTGACTCATAGCGTGCACGAACTAGGGGAAAAGACGGTCGATGATGAGCTATCCCAGTTTACTGGTTTTGTTGTCGAACAGTCAATCGAAGAGTGAATTGTATTAAAACCAAAGCGTGATCAGACTCACTGCAGGTGGTCCGATAGGACCTGGAATTTTGCACTAAGCCACGCCAACCGTAGTGTACTGCTGTGGTCGATTTGGTTTAGCGTACCGGCTGAAAAGCTAGAACCAACCCCACCCAATGATATTAACCGGCACTGGTCGCTTATCAAGACTGTTCTGCAATCCGCTGGCTTGCTCATCTGTGGTCTTACACGTTATGCCTCGGCACCCTGGATTTTCGCGGAGTCTCTACGCCTTCGTGGCGCACATCGATCAAACCAGAAACGGCAGCGAATATATTGAAACACGACTCGTAAAGAGACGAAACCTCAACACAAGCTTAGGCAGAGACCGCAAAATCCCGTTCGACCTAACGCGCATCAGAGATGGAACGTACTGCCGCCGTGGGAAATTCCCGTGAGCTTTCGAAACCATATTTATTGAACAGCTTTACAAGTTTTTATTTTAGATGATAACATATATCTAATTTCAAATAAACTTGTTCTGAAGTTTCATACGATGTTATGATTCAAAATTTATTTGTGTGAAAGTGGAATGGTTTTGTTAATCATTTATACTAGTTAAATTTTGAAATTTCAGTTTCGCGGACACGCTCCCAGCGGATCATTTGGCTCCTAGTTTTGTTCAAATATGAGTTTTAGATTTTTGCACCTATATCTTGTATGGTTGAAAGTTTTTGCAGTCTCATTTTCCATAAACACAAACGCATTTTGTCTCAAATTATCAACTTGAAAACCATTTTCCTGATGAACCATGGTCTTTATAACCATAGCAAACCAAGAAACCCTAAATAAAACTAATTAAGTTGCAAGACTTTTAATAATTGAAATGAAACTCACAGAATTGGGCACACCGAGACGAGGGCGCTTAGGGAGAGGCTCATCGGGCTTTCCATCTTGATCGGGAGTATTCTGATCTTGCCGTTCCATTTCCAGACGCATTCTTGTGTGAAAATAATGTGTTCGAACACGGAGGGGATTGAATTCTATTCGGCCTTCGGGATTTTGGCATACAGNTTTGACACTTTATGCCATTTAGCGCACACTGGCATAGATTCGGCAAACATACACCATCTGGGCAGCTACAACCACAAATATCTCGACTTAGTCGAATTGCTTGGCACTCCATGCGCTCCGTAGGATCTACGGTTTTTAATCCTAAAATTAGAAAAGAGTAAAGAAATCGTATTGAGAGTTAGATAAGAAAACTACTGATTTATTAACTGAGCACCAATCCTAGCCCCTTCAAATGTGTTTATGTGCGATTGACCTCGATTGTTGACAAATTTCAAGAATGTGAACGCGGCAACACATCAAGATAACAGTGAAATTAGAACCCAAGGCGAAAGCTCCCCATCGACGATAAAAATACGAAAGTGGTCCTAAAACCTTATGAGCTCTTAGTCGAGTTCGTAACCGAATATATATATATAGGNNNNTATATAGGCGATGAGGAGCTTTCGCCTTGGGTTTTAATTATATCGGTTACATAACCAGGTAGCTTTCCCAAGCTCGTTGCAGCGCTGCAGAAAACGTGTTGATTCCGGTGCAGTCAGGTAACATTCAATTCATCCAAGTTACCAGTTAAAGAAAGAATTGACATTTTGATTTTGTACTTAAGAGATGGACAGAAAATAAATGAATGTAGCGATAGATGAATATAAGAAAGAATAAAAACAAACGGATAAAGGGAGAGGCATTTCAAGGAGTCCCTACTCCCGTAGATTTGAGCACATCTATAGTCCATCGTCCAAGTTGCTTGCATACTCATCCATTCATTCATTTATGGTTTAGCCTTTTCCGTGTATTCACATTTTACATTCACCCGCGTTAAGACCTAATCACCTTCATACTCACAGGCATATCCTCCCGATCCTTCGCACGTTTTCAACTAATGTCATACAGGTTACGGAGGCGCTGGGTCAAATCTTGGTAATGTATAGCTCGCTCCCTAGTGAGGCGCCAAGGTTTGGTGAACCGAATGAGGAGCAACTACTCACATGATCACTAACCCGTCTCTGGGTAGTACACACATGGTGTCCTTTGATGTCACATCTCTGTTTACAAACATATCGACACAATTAGCTCTGGAGAGCATACGGAATCTGATAACAGATGATCCTCGTCTTCCAGGAAGAACACCACTATTAGTGACTGACATCATGGAACTGCTTGAACTCTGCATGGAAATATACCTACAGTTTGACGGGAGGATATATCGACAGGTGAAAGGAACTCCAATGGGATCACCAATATCCGACCTACTAGCTGATGCGGTGATGAAACAATTCTAAACCAAGGCATTTGCAGAATACCACCCCCGCCTCTTGGTTCGATATGTGGACGACACCTTTGTGATGCTACCGGCAGAAAGAATCGAACAATTCCAGGATACCCTAAACGAGGTTATGCCAGGGATAACGTTTACTCGCGAGGAGGAAAACGACATAAAGCTCTCTTTGTTAGACGTCCTTGTCATAAGAAAACCTGGTGGAAACACAGAAAACCCACAACGACAGACCAGGTGCTGAACTACGACAGCAATCACTCCACGTGTCACCTTAGGAGCTGTCGATACACTTCATTCCGCCGTGCAGACACACATTGCAGCACAAAAGAACTTCGGTATCAGGAACGAATGCATCTGTTCCATCAATTCCACACAAATGGATACCCCAAAAGTTTCATCCAGTCATGCCTTAGGGGGAGAAGAAAACGAAACTCTTATTACCATACATACGTGGGATAACAGAAGCCGTTGGTCGCATCCTTCACCCTCTGGGTGTCACCATTGCCCACAAGCCTACAACAACGCTGCGGTCAATGTTGTTCAACGGCAAGGACGATGTAAAACCACACGACCAATCAGGGGTGGTGTACGCGATTCCGTGCTTAGACTGCGACGAACGGTACGTGGGAGAGACAGGTAAACAATTGTGCACTCGCCAACACGAACCCACACTTGAACTACGACGCGCCGACCACAAGTCACATCTCTGGAACCACTGCGCAACGACAGGTCACGAGGTCAGAATCAATGACGCAAAAGTA